TTGCAGTGATTTATGTCAGAGTGTTCTTCCTATGTTTTCCTCTAAGACTTTTATAGTGTCCGGTCTTACATTTAGGTCTCTAATCCATTTTGAATTTATTTTTGTGTATGGTGTTAGGGAGTGTTCTAATTTCATTCTTTTACATGTAGCTGTTCAGTTTTCCCAGCACCACTTATTGAAGACACTGTCTTTTCTCCATTGTATATCCTTGCCTCCTTTGTCATAGATTAGTTGATCATAGTTGCGTGGGTTTATCTCTGGGCTTTCTATCCTGTTCCATTGATCTATATCTCTGTTTTTGTGCCAGTACCATATTGTCTTGATTACTGTAGCTTTGTAGTGTAGTCTGAAGTCAGTGAGTCTGATTCCTCCAGCTCCGTGTTTTTCCCTCAAGACTACTTTGGCTATTCGGGGTCTTTTGTGCCTCCATACAAATTTTAAGATTTTTTGTTCTAGTTCTGTAAAAAATGCCATTGGTAATTTGATAGGGCTTGCATTAAATCTGTAGATTGCTTTGGGTGGTTTAGTCATTTTCACAATATTGATTCTTCCAAGCCAAGAACATGTTATATCTCTCCATCTGTTTGTATCATCTTTAATTTCTTTCATCAGTGCAGTGTCTTATAGTTTTCTGCATACAGGTCTTTTGTCTCCCTAGGTAGGTTTATTCCTAGGTATTTTATTCTTTTTGTTGCAGTGGTAAATGGGAGTGTTTCCTTAATTTCTCTTTCAGATTTTTCATCATTAGTGTATAGGAATGCGAGAAATTTATGTGCATGAATTTTGTATCCTGCAGCTTTACCAAATTCATTGATTAGCTCTAGTAGTTTTCTGGTGGCATCTTTAGGATTCTCTATGTGTAGTATCATGTCATCTGCAAACAGTGACAGTTTTACTTCTTCTTTTCCAATTTGTATTCCTTTTATTTCTTTTTCTTCTCTGATTGCCGTGGCTAGGACTCCTAAAACTATGTTGAATAATAGTGGTGAGAGTGGACATCCTAGTCTTGTTCCTGATCTTAGAGGAAGTGCTTTCAGTTTTTCACCATTGAGAATGATGTTTGCTGTGGGTTTGTTGTATATGGCCTTTATTATTTTGAGGTAGGTTCCCTCTATGCCCACTTTCTGGAGAGTTTTTATCATAAATGGGTGTTGAATTTTGTCCAAAGCTTTTTCTGCATCTATTAAGATGATCATATGGTTTTTATTCTTCAATTTGTTAATATGGTGTATCACATTGATTGATTTGTGTATATTGAAGAATCCTTGCATCCCTGGGTTAAATCCCACTTGATCATGGTGTATGATCCTTTTAATGTGTTGTTGGATTCCGTTTGCTAGTATTTTATTGAGGATTTTTGCATCTATCTTCATCAGTGATATTGGTCTGTAATTTTCTTTTTTGGTGGTATCTTTTTCTGGTTTTGGTATCAGGGTGATGGTGGCCTCATAGAATGAGTTTGGGAGTGTTCCTTCCTCTGCAATATTTTGGAAGACTTTGAGAAGGATGGGTGTTAGCGCTTCTCTAAATGTTTGATAGAATTCACCTGTGAAGCCATCTGGTCCTAGACTTTTGTTTGTTGGAAGATTTTTAGTCACAGCTTCAATTTCATCACTTGTGATTGGTCTATTCATATTTTCTATTTCTTTTTGGTTCAGTCTTGTAAGGTTATACCTTTGTAAGAATTTGTCCGTTTCTTCCAGGTTGTCCATTTTATTGGCATAGAGTTGCTTGTAGTAGTCTCTTAGGATGCTTTGTATTTCTGTGGTGTCTGTTGCAACTTCTCCTTTTTCATTTCAAATTTTACTGATTTGAGTCCTCTCCCTCTTTTTCGTGATGAGTCTGTCTAATGGTTTATCAATTTTGTTTATCTTCTCAAAAAACCAGCTTTTAGTTTTATTGATCTTTGCTATTGTTTTCTTTGTTTCTATTTCATTTATTTCTGCTCTGCTCTTTATGATTTCTTTCCTTCTTCTAACTTTGGGTTTTGTTCGTTCTTCTTTCTCTAGTTCCTTTAGGTGTAAGTTTAGATTGTTTGTTTGAGGTTTTTCTTGTTTCTTGATGTAGGCTTGTAGAGCTATAAACTTCCCTCTTAGAACTGCTTTTGCTGCATCCCATAGGTTTTGGATCGTTGTGTTTTCATTGTCATTTGTCTCTAAGTATTTTTTGATTTCCTCTTTGATTTCTTCAGTGATCTCTTGGTTATTTAGTAACGTATTGTTTAGCCTTCATGTGTTTGTGCTTCTTATGTTTTTTTCCCTGTAACTGATTTCTAATCTCACAGCGTTGTGGTCAGAAAAGATGCTTGATATGATTTCAATTTTCTAAAATATACTGAGGCTTGATTTGTGACCCAAGATGTGATCTATCCTGGAGAATGTTCCATGTGCACTTGATAAGAAAGTGTAATCTGCTGTTTTTGAATGGAATGTCCTCTAAATATCAATTAAATCTATCTGGCGTATTATGTCATTTTTTTTGCGGTACGTGGGCCCCTCACTGTTGTGGCCTCTCCCGTTGCGGAACACAGGCTCCGGATGCGCAAGCTCAGCAGCCATGGCTTACAGGCCCAGCTGCTCCGCGGCATGTGGGATCTTCCCAGACTGGGGCACGAACCCATGTCCCCTGCATCGGCAGGCAGACTCTCAACCACTGCGCCACCAGGGAAGCCCTATTGTGTCATTTAAAGCTTGTGTTTCCTTAGTAATTTTCTGTTTGGATGATGTGTCCATTGGTGTAAGTGAGGTGTTAAACGTCCCCACTATTATTGTGTAACTGTCAATTTCCTCTTTTGTAGCTGTTAGCAGTTGCCTTATGTATTGAGGTGCTCCTTTGTTGGGAGCATATATATTTATAATTGTTATATCTTCTTTTTGGATTGATCCCATGATCATTATGTAGTGTCCTTCCATTTCTCTTCTAACATTCTTTATTTTAAAATCTATTTTATCTGATATGAGTATTGCTCCTCCAGCTTTCTTTGGATTTCCATTTGCATGGAATATCTTTTTCCATCCCCTCACTTTCAGTCTGTATGTGTCCCTAGGTCTGAAGTGGGTCTCTTGTAGACAGCATATATATGGGTCTTGATTTTGTATCCATTCAGCGAGCCTGTGTCTTTTGGTTGGAGCATTTAATCCATTCATGTTTAAGGTAATTATCTATGTGTATGTTCCTATTACCATTTTCTTAATTGTTTTGGGTATGTTTTTGTAGGTCCTTTTCTTGTGTTTCCCACTTAGAGAAGTTCCTTTAGCATTTGTTGTAGAGCTGGTTTGGTGGTGCTGAATTCTCTTAGGTTTTGCTTGTCTGTAAAGCTTTTGATTTCTACGTCGAATCTGAATGAGATCCTTGCTGGATAGAGTAATCTTGGTTGTAGGTTCTTCCCTTTCATCGCTTTAAATATGTCATGCCACTCCCTTCTGGCTTGTAGAGTTTCTGCTGAGAAATCAGCTGTTAACCTTATGGGAGCTCCCTTGTATGTTATTTGTCATTTTTCCCTTGCTGCTTTCAGTAATTTTTCTTTGTCTTTAATTTTTGCCAATTTGATGACTATGTGTCTTGGCGTGTTTCTCCTTTGGTTTATCCTGTATGGGACTCTTTGCGCTTCCTGGACTTGGGTGGCTGTTTCCTTTCCCATGTTTGGGAAGTTTTCGACTATAATCTCTTCAAATATTGTCTCGGGTCCTTTCTCTCTCTCTTCTCCTTCTGGGGCCCCTATGATGCGAATGTTGTTACGTTTAATGTTGTCCCAGAGGTCTCTTAGGCTGTCTTCGTTTCTTTTCATTCTTTTTTCTTTATTCTGTTCCACAGCAGTGAATTCCACCATTCTGTCTTCTGGGTCACTTATCCGTTCTTCTGCCTCAGTTATTCTGCTATTGATTCCTTCTAGTGTATTTTTCATTTCAGTTATTGTATTGTTCATCTCTGTTTGTTTGTTCTTTAATTCTTCTAGGTCTTGCATCTTCTCAATCTTTCTCAATCTTTGCCTCCATTCTTTTTCCGAGGTCCTGGATCATCTTCACTATCATTATTCTGAATTCTTTTTCTGGAAGGTTGCCTATTTCCACTTCGTTTGGTGGTTTTTCTGTGGTTTTATCTTGTTCCTTCATCTGGTACATAGCCCTCTGCCTTTTCATCTTGTCTATCTTTCTGTGAATGTGGCTTTTGTTCCACAGGCTGCAGGGTTGTAGTTCTTCTTGCTTCTGTTGTCTGTCCTCTGGTGGATGAGGCTATCTAAGAGGCTTGTGCAAGTTTTCTGATGGGAGGGACTGGTGGTGGGTAGAGCTGGCTCTTGCTCTGGTGGGCAGAGCTCAGTAAAACTTTAATCTGCTTGTCTGCAGATGGGTGGGGCTGAGTCCCCTCCCTGTTGGTTGTTTGGCCTGAGGCGACCCAGCACTGGAGCCTACCTGGGCTCTTTGGTGGGGCTGATGGTGGACTCTGGGAGGGCTCATGGCAAGGATTATTACCAGAACTTCTGCTGCTAGTGTCCTTGTCCTCATGGTGAGACACAGCCACCTCCTGCCTCTGCAGGAGACCCTCCAACACCAGCAGGTAGGTCTGGTTCAGTCTCCTATGTGGTCACTTCTTCCCCTGGGTCCCGATGCGCACATTACTTTGTGTGTGCCCTCCATGAGTGGAGTCTCTGTTTCCCCCAGTCCTGTCAAAGTCCTGCAATCAAATCCTGCTAGCCTTCTAAGTCTGATTCTCTAGGAATTCCTCCTCCTGCTGCCGGACCCCCAAGTTGTGAAGCCTGACGTGGGGCTCAGAACCTTCATTCTAGTGGGTGGACTTCTGTGGTATAAGTGTTCTCCAGTTTGTGAGTCACCCACCCAGCAGTTATGGGATTTGATTTTATTGTGATTGCACCCCTCCTGCCATCTCACTGTGGCTTCTCCTTTGTCTTTGGATGTGGGGTATCTTTTTTTGGTGAGTTCCAGTGTCTTCCTGTTGATGATTGTTCAGCAATTAGTTGTGATTCTGGTGTTCTTGCAAGAGGGCGTGAGAGCACGTCCTTCTACTCTGCCATCTTGAACCAATCTCCCTAAACAGAATTTTTTCTGACAGCAGGTTTTGATGGTGGCGGAAAGGGAGGCCTGGATAGCGCATGATTACAAGTGGGTGCCTGAGTAGCAGGGGTACCAAACAATGGGGAGACAGGGAGGATCCAGGAGCGTTCACATGGCTGACTCCCTGGGAGGTTCTGCTCCAGTCCCTTTCTCTACTCCAGCCAGAAGTCAATTCATCCAGTAAAACTCCTCCACTCATTACAGAAAATCTAAGTAGGCAAGTAATAGTGAGGCTGACCCACATGTTCTAGGCAACTAACTCTAGGGATTCTTTACCTCCATTTAACCATCCATCCATTTAACTGTTGCATCATTCTTGCGCCCACATATCCAGCCATCACAGTATTACTGTCAATCACCCATCAACCATCAGTCGTTCCATCCAACTACTCATTCAAACATCCATTCATTCATTTAGCCACTCGCTCACCCTCTTAACCATCTATACATCTTTCCATAAAGCCATGCAACCATTCACTCATCCGTCAACTATCTATCCATTCATCTCACCATACGACCATTCAGTCTTCAATTCAGTCATCCGTCCACTCATAATCTATATAGCTATCCGTCTAGTCATCCCCACAATTATCCATCCATTTATCCATCCGTTCTCCAGTCACCTTGCTAAACATCCACCTTCAGATCACTCAAGCACCCAGTCATCTAACCAGCCGTCCATCTACCCACCCGTTTAGACATCTATTCAGCCATTTTTACAAGTATCCATTCACCCAGTTACCTAACTATGATTCCAATTATACTTTCATCCTTCCTTCCACGTCATCTGTAATGGGATTCCAATTTATGTCAGTATCCACTCTGTAGACTGATTCCAAGGATGACACTCGTGCTTGGTTTGGGGAAATACAGAGACGAAACCAACAGCGCCTGCCCCCAGGGAGCTCAGAGCCTCGCCAGGGAGTCTGTCTCACCCTTGGTGATGACTTTCCATCTATCAGATTCTAGCTCTGAGACTCCAGTCATCCGCTGACATGGATGCCAGCCAGCTGGTGACCCTGGATTTCACCAGCATGAATAGAGGGAGAAGCCTATAGTTAGGCTTAGCATCCAATCAAATGGATCGAGGCCCTGCTTGGAACTCTGTGGGCAGCAACAGAGCTGAAGATGTCCTTGGGACTTCTCCAGATGTCCCTCCCTGTTCCCTACACCGGATCCTGGGCTCATCCGCTGGAAAATAAAGTCCTACCCATGGCATGGAAGTCAGTTCTAGTTTCCATCCCAACCCCCATTTTCCCCAGTTCTTTTAGGAGTAGCTCGCTGATTCCTCCTTTGGGAGACAAGCTCTCCCCAGCTTTCTGCTCATGAGAGATTGAACCCTATCCAGCTCCATGGGCAGCTCACGACTCAGGTTTGACACAACCTTGGGGCTTTCGCTAGAGCCCCTGTGCAGAAAGTGCTCTCTTTCTGCTGGTATGGTTTTACCGAAAGATTCTTGGAGCTGCCTTTGCCACACAGGGAAGAGCCTGCCCGAGAAGTAAAACTGCACAGGAGAAAGTCACTCGATCACCTGGACCCAGCTATGGCTGAAGACAGTTATTACCCAAAGTTCCTGGAGATGATTTGCTTTTTTCTTTGGCTTAAGGCAGTTTGAGTCGGATTTTATACTTCCGTAACTGAAAAGGTTCTGGAAAACACCAACAAATTCAGAAGCCTCCAAAGCAGTAATAAAGTAGTGACACTCTACCCCACTTCAAAATGTAAACGTGGTTTTATTTAATGCCTTTTTCCGTCACAAAGTACTGCCTCCTCCCCAGGGTCCCCTCTTCCTAGAAAACAAGATGGCAGCATAAGGCACGTGCACTGTCCACACGACATCAGGTTACGTCCTTAAAAACAAAAATAAGCAATAGTCTTCCCCACAGCCCCAAATCGCCTCCCTCTGTTCAAAGAATGATTGTCCCCTCAAAGCACAACTCAGAGCAGAGAGGCTTAAATTAGAGCTGTGCACTGCCCCACATGCCAGCTGAGAAAACAAAAACCAACAACACAGGTACAAGAGCGTAATACCAGAGTAATGAGATTAGTCCATAAATTAAAGTGGAGAAAAAAAAAGAGCCTGTCCCCTCCTCATCGCCAGCCCTCCCCCAAATCAGGAATTCCTTGCTTGTGAGTCTTGCAGAAAAGCCTGGACTCCGAGCCAGCCCTTTTCCCCAAAGTTAAATATTCCAAAGCCACTGCTGGGTACTTTGTTCCTCTGGACCCGCGTTGGGACTGAAAGGACAGCTTCTGAGATGGTCACCGGACACGTCCTCTTGGCGGGAGGGACCCTGCATCTGGCAGGGGAGGTGGGGAAAACCGAGGGCCTGGGCGGGTGGGCTGCCTCTCTGATGGCAGGTGGCGAGGCTGCGGGTTCTGCTATAAATACTCCAGCTCCAGGGCGTGCCTCAGCGCCTCCAAGTCCGCGTGGCAGGATATCCGCCAGAAAGGCATGTTGTGCTGGAACACAGAACACCAGCCACACGGTTACGGCTCTGCGCGGTGCTTCCCACAGCCCCCCTGGATCCCACGCCCATGGTTAGAACCTTAGGAGAAATCACACTGAGTCACTGTAGCATGTGGGCATTTTCCAAACCGGGAGCACAGAACATCGTTGGTGGACCCCTGCGTGGCCAGGCATGCTTTCTATTCCTTCTGAGTCTGTTTTTTTTTTTAAAATTATTTACTTATTTTAAATTAATTTTGATTGAGGTATAGTTGCTTTACAATGTGTTAGTTTCTGCTGTACAGCAAAGTGAATCAGCTATACGTATACGTATAACCCCCTTCTTCCTTCCCATTTAGGTCACCACAGAGCACTGAGTAGAGTTCCCTGTGCTGTACAGTAGGTTCTCATTAGTTATCTATTGATATTTTATACATAGTAGTGTATATATGGCAATCCCAATCTCCCAATTCTCCCACCCCGCCTGAGCCAATCCTGATTGGCTTATCCTGCACTGTCCGCCATGTGGACTGTTTGACCCTCCCTCCTCTGTTGGGACCAGCCTGGTCTTAGGCGGCATGCTGACATGGAATTAAATCACACAGCGAGAAAGCTATTCCGTTTTAAAAATGTGCTCTCAATCCTGCTACTAAAGATAGAAAATCTCGACTAGATGCTACTGTGTCTTCAACCCCTCCCTAACTCTCACTAATCTCCATTTGAACAGATAGGGCTGGTCCCAGAGAGTCGTTTTTATCTTTTCCTTTTCTTTACAGCAGGTGATGCTTGCTCTGTTATTGTCATGCTATCAAGTTTTCAATTTTAAACATAAGTGCATCCATTGAAAGGGAAACATTAAGTAGGTAACCATGCAGGCAGCATGCAGATACAGCAAAAGTTGTAATTGGTGTAAAAGAACTGTTATGCTGATTATGGAAAGAAATCACTCATGTGGAGACAAAATTTGCAAAATATTGATACTTCCATAGCGTGAGGGTTAAATGTTTCAGTGCCCTTTGCAAAGCTCTGTTCTGCCACCATTAGCTGGGTGATCTTAAATAATTTACTTTGGTGCTTGTCTGTAAAATGGGGATAATACTTCTGTATACTGTGTGTATCTTATATTACAGATGAGGAGACTGAGGCACAGAGAGGTCTGTCTGACTCCAGAGAGAAAACTTGACTGCCTGTTTATCACAGGAAAATGTGACCGTCGACTAAAGTTGTTGCCTGTCCAACAGCCATCCTCCCTTCTTCCTACTTCCAGAACCCTGAATTTGGCAGCGCCGTGCCCAAGAGGTAGGGGATGAGTTATGATTGTCTAAGCAAGCGATGACAACCCTAGCCTTGTTTACCAGGGGTTTGTCCTGTATCCTTCTGACTTGTGACCCGCTGAAGCCAATGAGGAAGTTGGCTGGGGGCTTCTGGGAAAGGTTTTCCTCCATGATTAGAGAGAGAGGCACCTGAGGAGAACTCCTTCCTCCTTACTTGCCCTTTTTATTTGGATGCTGACATATAAGTATGTGATGTCTGGGGCTGTGGCAGCTGTTTTGGGATCATGAGGCAAAATATCAGAAAAGAAAATGCCAAAGATGGTTAGAAACTTAGAGCAAAATGATGGAAGGGATGCTTGGTGAATTTTCAGACCCACGGAAACAACCTAGGATACGCCTACTTGTAATCTTTTGTTTTTAAATTGGAGTATAGTTGTTTTACAATATTGTGTTAGTTCCTACTTCTAATCTTGTTAGGTGAGCAAGTGTTTAAGTTTTCATTACATAGGTTCTCTGCTACCTGCAGCTACAAGATACTGAGCCTCCTTGACAGCCACTGACCTTCAATTATTTACTGAGTGAACAGAGGGTGCTTGAGGAACATATGGCTGCCCCAAGTTCTTGTGGTCGTTCTGCTGCCCCTTGAGGTTCAGTGCCCACAGGGTAGAAACTATACAGGTGTCCTTTTGGTTCCAGGAGCACAATGACCCTTTCCTGCCTCTGGGGGCTCTGCACTTTTGATAGTTGGGTCAGGGAAGGCCTCTCTAGGGGGGTAACATTTAAGCAGGACCCAGAGAACACGAAGGAGGGAGCCATGCAAACGTGTGGGGAGGTAGTTGAGGTAGAAGACAGCAAGTGCAAAGGCCTTGAGGAGGGTTTGAGCTTGAAATGTCATATTCACTGCTGCCTTGCATGGCTCCTGGCACACAGTGGGCGCTTAATAAATATTCGTGGAAGGAATGAAAAGAAGGGAGGGAGGAAAGGCGGGAAGGTGAGTTTCTCAAGCAAAGCCCTCCATGGACACACCTTTTTCTCTTTTGCCCAGAGGAAGCAGAAGACTATCCATCATGGGCAACAGACGCCATCTCTTTAATGCCTTTCAGTTTCCCCACCCTCCCCTCACCCCGGCCAAGCCTTTCATTCTCTGCAGAGATGGATGCTGGCTGCCACCTGGCCAATCCAGTCCCTCTTTAAAGAGTGTAATTCATTTTCTCTGGGAGGAAATGAGCAAAGGGGAAGAGACTATCTCAGCCGTCTCCCTCCCAGGCCTGGTGGCTCCAGAGCATGGGTAGATTTATCACTTCTGGAGACGGGGAGACAAATGACCCACTAGCATGGAGATATGAACAACACCATCAGCTTAAGCAGCTGAAGCCCCTCGTCCTGTCGCCGTATTTCATGCTGCTCAGGTGGCCAGTGGCCTGGGCTAATGAGTGCCATCCCTCAGGCCGGGAGAGCTGCTGGTGCACAGGGTTTCTCACTAACGGGCTGGGGCTGCTGCTTCAGACACTGCGGGGGTTTTTAGGGGAGCTTGGTGCACGGGGCGTGTGTCCCAGTCTTCTTTGGTGGACTCCACTCTCTTCTGACCGGGTCAGGGGTGCAGACTGACAGTGTTTGAAACTCCTGAGTCCACCTCCTTCCTGCCAGGCGTTTGGAGCAAAACACACAGCAGTTTTCATGTACCAGCTGTGTGACCGTAGGTAAATTAATTAACCTGAGTCTCAGACATGTTCCGTATAAAATGAAGTGGGATGGTACCCACTTCGCAGGGGGAGGGGGTTGGAGGATTAAATAAAATGATGATGTCGGTAATAAAGAGTAGTGATTAAGGCCCGGGGTTAAGTAGGGTGCCAGTTACCGCCCTGCCACATGCCAGCTGGGATGGAGGCTGCCAGGTGGCTCCCAACATCCTTTCTTCCCTTTCTCTCAGAAAACGCTTTTTTTTTTCTTTTGCTAGGAACTTGGTGGCTGAGAATAAGGGGTACATCTCCCAGCTACCTTTGTGGCAAGGTGAGATCATGTGACTCACATCTGGCCAATGGGGTCTGAGAAGCAGTGATGTTGACCTATATCAGCTGTGCTCTTAAAGGGAAGAGGAGTCCTTCCCCTTTTTCTTCCTGGTGGCTGGAGTGCAGACGTGGGCGTGGTGAGGAGCCGTCTTGGACTTTGTGGAAAGAGCAGTACTGGGACTGGCAGAGCAACAAGACAGAAGGGGCCCGGGTCCCTGGTGCTGTCCCAGCTGTCTGGGCAGCTAATGAGAGACGAAGAAATCTCTCCCCTGTTTAAGCTGCTGTCTGGCATCTCTGGCAATGCAAACTCCACAGAACCTGGGCAGCCCTGGCCCCGCTGGAGCCCACCCCATCCACATCCTCAGCGGGTCTTAGCAGCGTGCTTCTCCTGTGGACTTTGAGCAAACGAGATTTCGGTGAGTTTTCATGTTATGTGAAAACTGGCATTCTTGTTTTCTTTTTCTGCTGGCTCCCCAGGAGAGGGAACCCCTGAATTTCTGAAGGTGGATTTAGCTTTCTCCCCTCCCCTGGCCCTGGGGAGTAGTACTCACACAGCTTCAGGCTATTGAGGGCTAACTACGCATGGTTTCTCTGCTGGGCCCCACGCGCCTGTTCTCGGCAAGTGTGACAGATTAAAAAGGCAGCTCAGAGACCGTTGCCATCTGCTGAAGGCCACACAGGCAACAATGGCAGAACTAGGATTTAGAGCAAAATGCGCTCCCCTGGTCACCTGTTTCTGTGAAAGCAGGGTGGCTGTAGGGTGAGGTGAGGGAGGCGCCCGGGACACGGAACTTAAGGAGGCACGTCCATCAGCGCCCCCTAGGCGAGGGCGACCCCAGACCGGCAGGTCTCAAAGGAGAAGCCTGCCCGTTAGGGGGTGACTTGGCAATTTCTAGGGGTGTGATTTTTGACTGTCGTCCTGATTTGGGGGCACTGCAGGTGGGGGCAGCTCTCCTGCCTCATCCCACACACCTTCCACCTGAATGACTTTCAGATGTCCTGCCAGATATTTAAGCACAAACCCGTTCTTAATAACCTGAGTGTAGACCCTTAACTCCACTTTACTTGTCACATATAAATAGAGCATTTTTCTCATGCTTTTAATAAACCCCAACTTCCCCAGGGCTGCAATTACCGTGTCAACTGGGGAAGTCTGTTTTATTCAGAACCTTTCCGTGGGTTGCTTCGCAGGCTGGAGCAGTCACGTGACAGCCGCGGCACCTCGCTGGCTTTGTGAATGGCCAAGACCGCACACCTGTGTCCCCCTGTGTGTGTCGGCTCACATCCTCAGTGACGGTACGTTTGGGTGTGAGATCTTGTGCTCAGATGTTCACATACTGAAGCACACGTTACTGTGAGTATAAATGACTTTCCCTTATTTCTCTTTGATGTATCATCAGATGTTGATCTCCTGGACATTACGGTTATAAGGAGGTTTTATTATCCATTAGTATTTCATTTCAGGAGAGTAAACGGTCATTTCAAAACATCTGCTACGCCGCCCTAAGAAACGTCCTTTGGTGAGAAGGTGGGTGAACGGCAGCCACTGCTCCGGATGTCCCTGTCATTCTCCAGGTGAGAACCGGAGGGCATGTGCGGGGGTGCCCGCGGCCATGGGCCTAAGTGGGGTCTCAGCCCAACGTTGATAGAAGCAAAGTTTATTTTGATCGCTGTCACGTGCTTAGGGCAGAGGTTTTTTTCTATTAGATCTGAACTTGGAAGAGGGGCTCTAGAATCCCCCTTCCATCCTGGCAGTGGGCTTCAAGTAGTCTCACCAGAGCCCACGCTCTTGACCTGGCACATTGGTCCTGGATTCACGTGATGATTCGCGCTACTGTTTTGGTCATATCCTGGTGTATCACCCCTATTATTTACTTAATGTTTTGATCATATCCTGGTGTATCACCCCTATTATTTACTTAATATTTTTTCCTCTGAATCAGTTCATTTTTAAAGTTTAAGAAATATGCTTTAAAAAGAAGTGCTCAGGGTCAAGGCTGAAGTCCCTGCGAAGGCCCCAGGCACCTCCCTGACTGCACCTCCTGCCCCTCCCCACTCGCCTGGTGCATCGCGCAGCCGGCAGCCATGCCAGCTCCCTGCAGGACGCTCTAGCCTTCCGACCTCTCAGCTTCTTGGCTCCTCTCCGCGAACTCCCTCCCTCTGATACTCACTTGGCTCACTCGCTCTCCTCCTCCCGTTTTCGCCAAAGCTCTGGTCATCATCTGACACGCGTGTTACACTTAGGGGTCGATTGATCGTCCCCAGGCTGTGAGCTGAGGGAGGGGTGAGAGCCCTGTGTGTTCTGCTCACTGCAGGACGCCCAGCGCCTGCAACAGTAGCTGGCACACAGTAGGTGCTCAGCTAATGGAGCTTACACACCAGCTGGAGAGTCGGTGACTATGCCACCAAGCACACAGGTAATTCTCTCATGACAGGAGGGGATAACGCCCTGGAGAAGGACTAGGGACAGCGGGGGAGGGAGTCGCAGGCAGGCCTGACTGAGCTGGAGTGGGAGCTGGTGCAAGTGTTGCTGAGGCGGAAAGGATGAGTCCGGGAGAGCTGGGAAAGCGGAGGAGCCTTCCAGGTGGATGGAACAGTAGATGCAAAGCCTTCTAAGCACCCCTCTCGCGGGGCCCTCCGTCTTCTCATGAGTTCCATCCGCTGAGACCCCTACACATTTCTGCATTTCTTTTGAATCTGTTTCTGGGGCGGGAAGGGGGAAACCAAATTACGCTCTGTGACATTAACCATCTGCTTCCCAGGCCCCTCCGGGTGGGGAGTGGCAGGCTCTCTGGGATGCTGTTGACAGGTCCAGATCCAGGGCTTTGGAACAGAGCTGTGGCCACCAGAAGCCCCCTGCCCCTCTCCTCATGGGCCTGAGATCACAAATGCAGGATTTTCTTTTTCATTAGCTTAATGCTGTCTTTATTAACTGGGAAGCGTTCCTGGAACATATGATCAGTAAGCATTAAATAAAACACACACACAGGCACCAGCCCCCCGGCCAGCCTGCCCTGACAGAGGGTCTCTGGGCTCCCGAGCAGTTGTCCCAGAAACAATGCAGGGCTACCGGGGTGGCAGCCAAAGGCCCGGAGGGGGATTCGCAGGAAATTACTCAGGATGCTTCTGCAATTTCCAAATGGCAGGGGACGGGCGAGCAAAGAGCCTGGGAAGGAGACAGGCTCAAGAGAGGAGGAAAGAGCAGCCGGAGAGACGGACGGAGAGAATATACCTTTTTCGCCCCCTGCTCCTCTTCCACGCCATCGCCAATCACGATGTAGACGGCTTTTCTGCCGAATCTCTGCATTATCCTCTCAAAGCAGCTCTCCTTCCCTGCACACACGGACGAAGGAAAGACACTCGGTGAGGACCCAGGACTGAGGTGACTAATAACCGCTCATCAAGAGTTCACTTTGTACAGCCTTCTTACAAAGGTCTCCTTAAGGACCAGGTATTAATCATTTCATCCTCAAGCAAACTTCGAGGCGTCACCGTCCCCATCCCCATGTGATGGACGACAGTGCAGAGGCACAGAGAGGTTAAGTGGCTTGCCCACGGTGACACAGCAGGAGAGGCAGGGCAGGGGTCTGAAACAAGCCCTGGCGTCTATGCGGCTGTCCGGTGTAGGAGTGATGGGCCCATTATACAGATAAGGACACGAGGGTCTGAGAGGTGCCCTGGACATGATCGGCCCAGGATCCCCAGAGTTAGTGTAGGAAGCAGAGGTGCCAGGATTCACGTGTCCGAGGGGGGGCAGCCTGGCGACAGAGTGGCCCTCGTGCGACTCGGCTGTTCGTTGTTTTCTTGCTCCCCGTAGACGACCACCTTTTTGTATTTTCCTTCTTCCCAGTGGCTGGGCAGCAGCATCAATCCAGGAACACTAAATTCAGGTCTTAGCTCATCCTGTTTCAGCAAGTTTAGTGACCATCATGATAATGAGAAGAGCCCTGAACAGAACAGCTGTCACTCAGCAGATGCCGGCACAGAGCAGGCTCGGTGCTTCACCGCCCCAGCAGGATTTCTTGGCCTCGGTGTTACGGACATTTTGGGCTGGCTAAATTCTTTGCTGCCCTGAGCACTGAAGGATGTTTGTTGAGCAGTATCTCTGGTCTAGAACTTCAGTAAAGGCAAAAACTGCTCTAAGAAAATGCTTCCAAAGTACATACATTTGCTCTTGCTCCAGAAAAAAAAAACAGGTAAACATTTCTAATTAAAAACAACTAGGCTTTGTATTATTATACGTTTAGGTGATACAAGAAAAAAAAAAATCAGCCTCCTCCCCCACAAGAAAAATCAGTCTTACTTACCCTGATGACAAACGATGCTGTTAATTTGTAGTTATTTTGAATTCTCTTATCTGATGAAAGTTCTAAGCCTAAGGCTTGTTTTCTTTGTTAATAAAGGAGATTAGCAAGTATTCAAGAGGTGGTAAAGCAAGATAACACGAAATTGAGACCATATCTTTGAAAGAGTATTAAAAAAACAATAGTTTTCTCTGTGGTTCAAGGTTAGGTTAGTTAATGGCCATAATTAACTAATTAAAATTAGTTAAATTAAAACCACCTTGTGTACCATCCTGGGGCAGGGGGAACTGTCTTCCTCTGCTTCCTTAGTAATGGACTTTCATGAGTTTTACCTGGGCTCACAGTCACTTAGCTATGGACTACATTTCCCAGCTTCCCTTGCAATTAGTTGTGGCCATGTGACTAAGCTGGGTTAATAGGAAGTGAGTAGAAGTAACATGCACCTCTGAGTCTTGGCTTTACAATAATGGACGCCCATTACTCCTTCCTGTTTTCCCCCTTCTCATAAGCTGGAATGACAATATGGCAGAATCTGATTTGACCATGTACATGAGGATAAAATTACAGAAAACTAAAAACGGGAAGAAGTTTTAGAAAACTAAAACGGGAAGAACATGGCCTCCTGGGTGAGTATGAGGACACAGTCACCCCATCAGCCTGGATCACTCACCTCTGGTCTCTTGACATCTGAGGGAGAAATAAGCTTTGGCCCTGATGTAATTAAGCCGTTGTATGTGGGGTGTATGTGCTACAGCAGCTTTGCAGCTGTCCTAACTAATACACTTTGGAAAACTGCAATCCTAACCAAGTTCTCTAGAAGCAGAGAAACTGGCATTCTTGTTTTCTTTGGGTCTATGAGGGTTGTTTGGGGGGAGATTTGTCCATGCCCATGGACAAGCTCTTTAACTTCCCTAGTGTCGTTTTCCTTAAACTTTCCAAACCTGGCAGGCAAAGCTGACCTTACCCCCCCTCCCCGTGCCCCTCTGAGGTCTGGGCTCCCCTACCTGTCTTCGTTGCACTGTAGATGTTCTCAATAGGAAACACGGAGCCCAGGCCATACAGCAGGACTTTGGCCAGGGCAGGAATTAGTTGAGTGGTGGTGACCAGCACGTTGACACAATTGGGCCTGAGGGCAAAGGAGATGGTGAGTCAGAACTCCAAGGTACCCCAAGGCCAGGCCTCCTACCCCCGCAGCTGAGCCTGGAGTCGGTGGGAATGCTGGTGGGGTTTGGAGGCTCTGGCTAAGTCGTCTGCAGGTGAGGCTAGAGCCCAAGGATCCTCCAGCTATTCCTCTCTTTTAAGCCTGAAGCTGCCTGACACATTGAAATCTAACACAAGTGTAATAGTTTTCCTATTTAAAAAGCAAATGTTAGGGACTTCCCTGGAGGTCCAGTGGTTAAGACTTCACCTTCCAGTGCAGGGGGTGTGGGATCGATCCCTGGTCAGGGAGGTAAGACCCCACATGCCTCGTGGCCGAAAAACCCAAAAAAAGTAAAACAGAAGCAATATTGTAACAAATTCAATAAAAACTTAAAAAAAAAATGTTGGGCTTCCCTGATGGCTCAGTGGTTAAGAATCCTCCTGCCAATGCAGGGGCCATGGGTTCGAGCCCCGGTCCAGGAGGATCCCACATGCCACGGAGCAACTAAGCCCATGCACCACAACTACTGAGCCTGTACTCTAGAGCCCGTGAGCCACAACTACTGAAGCCTGCGCTCTGCAACAAGAAGCCATCACAAGAAGCCCGGACACCACATCAAAGAGTAGCCCCCGCTCACCACAATTAGAGAAAGCCCGTGCACAGCAACGAAGACCCAACGCAGCCAAAAATATTTTTTTAAAATTTAGTGCAAGGGCCACACACTAAAGTAGCTGCAGGGACGTATTGGCAATGTGCATGAGTGACATGGAACACGTGTAGGACAACAGGGAGAGGTGAGGACTGGGGTAAACTGCAGAGCACATGCCAGTTCTGACGTTTTCCAAGATCCTTGAAACCTGCAGCTATGGAGTCACTTTCCCAGTCTTTGGGATAAAGTGTGTATCAAACAAAACACATCAGCAGGATGGATTCAGCTCATGAGCTGCCATTTTGTGACCATTCATCTGTTGGGTCACAAGAATTCTGATGCTGCAGGGGAGTAATTTGTTCTCTGGCCCAGGTGATCTTATTTAAGAGCAAGAGGCAATTTAGTGGGAGGTCTAGAATGAGACTGGGCCCTCCTGACCTCACTAAGAGCCCGCCAGATGATCTGCGTGATCCTATAAAATGGTTTTCACAGGGTGATGTCCTGTGCTGGAGGGTGTCGTGGGCAAGAGCGGTTGGGACAACAGACCTACGTACAAAGGTCTTTAGCTCTGCTGGCCCCCGATCAGTCTCTGCAACTACCTGCACATCTGAGGGACAAGGTGTCCATGGTGCCTGTACACCCTAGCTTTATCAAATGTCTGGAAGGTGTGCAGGGGAGAATTGGGGGGTCCAGTTCTCCCAAGTGTGGAAATGGAGGGGCTGCCACCCTTGAATGGGAGAAAGTTCAGTGGCGCAAAGGAAAACGGGGGCTCCCACCTACCGCGAATTGATGAGGTTTAGTGCCTTCAGGGAGTGGGTCAGCCAGAGGTCCGTCAGAGCTTCCAGCTCGGCTCTGAGCTGTAGCCATGTCTCTCTTTTGGGAGCTCCTATCAAGCCTACGGACAAAGCAAATAAAAATCATCGTTGCTGTCATTTCAAAGGGCTGGGGGGAGTAGGGTTAGGGAAGGTGAGTCTAGGTTTCAGATCAGATGACACCCAAGGTCAACTTCAATCCAGTGACCTTAATTTTATTTTGAGATTGATTGGATCAGTCAATGGAGTCGAGTAGCTGCCTACTCAGGCCTCTTCCCTTGACTGGCCAGGAGCTGGTTAGAGACCTTGTGATAATCAGAAACATCCCCAGATGCCTCCTGGGTGGGGAGGAGGCGGCATCACCTGTGAAGAGCCAGCGGCCTAGAGAATTCCAGAAACAGCGATCCGCGGGCCTGGTCACTACCGAGCCAACCCTGCCTTCAGCCCCTCCAGGCTTCTGTTCAGTGTGGCAGCCAGTGCTCTCCTGCCACTGAAGCTGGTGGCTTTCACCTTGCCTACACAGTAGTCACCAGGGAGCTCTGTGGGTCCTGATGCCAGGCAGCGGCCAGGCCAGGAACTGGAAACTCCTCAAGCGGTTCCGATATGAGCCAAGTCTGAGAACCGGTGTTTCCACAAACCGCCTGGGGATCTTGTTAAAAACGCAGGTCTGGCTCAGTCACCTGGGGAGGGGCCTGAGCGTCTACACTTCTAACGAGCTCCCAGGTGATGCTCATGTGAGTAGTGAGGGCTGAAGCCGGTGGCCCTCGAATTCCGGTGAGCATCAGAATCACCTGGAGGGCAGGTTAAGCCAGAGCGCCGGGCCCACCTCAGAGCTTCAGGTGCGACAGGTCTGAGGTGGGGCCAGAGAATCTGCATTTCCAGCAAGTCCCCAGGTGATGCTGCTGGTCCAAGGACCACACGTGGAGAACCACGGCGGGGGTGGGGGGTGTAATCATGGGCAAGATGCCCCATCCCGTCCTCAGCTTCCCCGCCCCGCCCCGCCCCCCTAAAGCGAGGATAAGGGAATCTTAGTGCCCTCTTCCAGAGGGCGCCACAAGGGTGACGCTGAGTGAGCCAGGACTTATAACAAGCCTCTCAGAGCAGTACCTGGCACAGGGCAGGTGGGATGCGAGTGACAGCATCCATCCTTGATGAATTTCCCTTGGTCCAGGGGTTGCGCCCGGAGCACAGGCAGACCCTCTGACCGCTGTGGACGACCCTCTCCCCGACCCACTCACCGCCGACGTTGTTCTTGTAGGTGTTGTACATCTCCTTCACTCGCCGGTAGCGGAAGGCCAGCTTCCTCATCCAGTCCACGCCACCGTGCACACCAGAGCCCAGGCACAAGCTGGCCCCCGGGGCCGAACTGTGGAAGCCATCAGCGGAGAAGTTGTAGGTGCTGGGGAGACGGGAGAGGGCAGGGCGTGGGAGAAGAGACAGTGTTACTGTCGGGGAGGTGGGAGCTCTTCACCAGGAGACCCACGGGGTGGGGTTTGGGGCACCCACGATGTCCCTGAATGTTCGAGGGTGCCGTGGGTATGTGCGTTCTGGGGGAAGCAGGATCATAGTTTTTATTAACTTCCCAAACAATGGTGGCATCCTTTGCTCTTGCCTAGTCAGCATCCATTCTCCTTTCTTTTGGTATCAAAGAGCATCTGTATTTTGGGGGGGGCAGCCATTCTGTCCCCTGCATGCAGTGGCCAAGCTGGGGAAAGCCTCCCTCTCTCCCCCTTCAGAGTCTGAAGCTGGAAGGCAACTCCAAAAAATGGTTGGCCTTGGTTCATCCTGAGAGAAAGTTCCAGAAGAATATGCCAGTTAGTTTCTGCCACTCTGATCCCCAAACCTGCTCTGCTTCACATGCCCCATAAGCCCTGACTGCTGACCTTTTCCTCCTATTCTGTGAGCATCTCTGTATCTTTCTACAGACATTCCCTATGTTGGGGACTTCCCTGGCAGTCCAGTGGTTAAGACTCTACGCTCCCAATGCAGTGGGCATGGGTTCAATCCCCTGGTCGGAGAACTAAGATCCTGCATGCCGCAGGGCGTGGCCAGCAAAAAAAAAAAAAAAAAAAGAAGAAATTCCCTATGGTAATTTTTTTATCTGTTAAATTAAGCAGAGTAGATTGCTGGTGCTTTGCAGACATAACCCTCCATCAGCATGAAGCGTGGTCTGGGGAGGAGTCAGAGTGTCATGTGAGGTTAACGACAGAAGCGGCAGCTGGGAACCAGAAGGGGAAAGCGTGGGCGATTGACCCCCTACAGCAGCTAGAGCATGAGAACGAAAGCCCTAGCTCTCCACGGAACACCATTTTCTTTCCCTCCACTGGAAGCCTGGTACAGGTTTGCAAAACCACAGGCCGTTGCAAGGCAAAACCAGAGCGTGACAAGGGATGTGTGGACCAAAAACTTCAAAAGTGAAAGTCTCCTCGAACAGAAAAGGCCTGGGGGGAGCAGGCTAGCGTGGTATATACCACAGCCTCTTGCGGGGTGGGTTCAGCTGACTTTTTTTTCTCTTTGCATTATTTTATTGTTTCTGGATTTTCTGTGATGAGTTTAAGGGCGGAGAAAGATACTGTATTTTTAAAAAAGATGTGATGCACTAGGGATGAAACAACACTAGGAAATTGTATCTTGGGTATCCCCGGTTTAACGCCACTGCTGCAGCAGATAAAAGGGAATTTGAGAAGTGTGAAGCGCTGGGTCATTCTCCCTGTGGGCCACGTGATGTCCTGATGCCCATGTGCCGTCCCGCACCGTTCTGTGCCTGGGGCTCAGCCTGACAGCCTGAATATCGAATTGGTGACAACGAAATCCCTGCAGGATCCGCAGAAACGGATCCGCAGAAACTCAAACAACAGCAGATTTCACCACGTGGGCTCCACTGGGGCAGGTGGGCCAGGAGGGAACTGACCCAGGTGACTTAATCCCAAAGGCCTCAAACGTAGACTCTGGCATTCCCTCCAGAGCAGGCTGGGTAGACAGTCACAGAGAGATACCAACAGGCTGACAGAAGTTCTTTAGATGTCTTCAAATTTTTGCCCATATGTCCATAAACACACACACACATCCACCTGGGTCATTTTTCACAGACATTTGTGTGAGTGTGCGTGTATATAAAATTGGAAGCAAGTAACTCATAATGTCAGAAAGTGGTGAGTTGGAGATGGTGGGAACAGGGATGATCGTAGTTTCTTCTCTGCTCTTTACTGAATTACTCAAGTTTAAAAGTTGGGGACTTCCCTGGCGGTCCAGTGGTTAGGACTCTGCGCTTTCACTGCCGAGGGCAAGGGTTCAATCCCCGGTTGGGGAACTAAGATCCCGCGTGCCTCGTGGCGTGGCCAAAAAAAAAAAAATACAATACAATAAAAATATAGGTTGTGTGTAATTAACTTGTTTGACCACTAGCTTGACATCGTGGTGTGGGACACCATACATTCTGAGATCTTGAGAAGGTTATTAAAAAAAAATTAAAAAGATACATGGAGAACAAGATACGACTGTTCTAATAACTTGTCTGCAATGATAACCTCCTCTTTCCCCTGAAAGATGCCAGTGGTTTATTACACAGACATGTTGCTGCTGCCTTCTTCTCAGTCCCTCCCTTGGGTGGCGGTGACCAGGGGCTAAAGAGGAAGAAAATATCCCCAACTAGTAAAAGGGAGCAGACGACATCTAATCGTAGGGGCAGAGAGCCATTCAGCAAGGACTGCTCACTGTGCTGGGCACTTCTCTAGCACATTCTTATCCTGACGAGAAAGGGGCTATGTGACTTTATCCCATCACGGCCCCTCATTTCCAGAAGCCACACTTTAAATTGACACGTGCTCCTTCCTCTGTACTGTCAAGGTTCCCATCTTGCCAGAGAATGTCTTCTGCTTTTTCTTTTTTAAAGACATTTTATTTTCCATCAACCTCATTTCCATTTTCTGTTTAAGAGTCTTTGGAAGAACAGCTTCGGACCACTCAGTGGTTGTGCCTCCCCAGCCAGTGGCCTGAACTCCGCAGTCTTCAGTAGGGAGCCACCGGGCAGGCACAGAGGGCATCTGGGAGCCTTCAGACTGGTCTGCGACCTCGGGTTGAGTGGCAGTGAACTTGGGAGCTGGAGCATCCGTTCACCCCGACGTTGCTCCAGGGTTACAGCCTTCTCAGCAGCGGCCTGCTCTTCCTTTTCAGCCTCTTCTGGATCCCTGTGGAAGCAGAGATCAGGCATGACCTCCCCAGGTGCTCACGGGAGATGGTACCACTCATGCGCAGGACATCCCAGGCCAGCATCCACCGTGTCAGACCCGCTGGGGAAGCTCCCTTGTTGTTGTAGGGACGGCACAGAGGAGAATCTGCTACACACAGCAACGGTAGGCAGGTTAACACGAGAGCCTCTGGGAGAGGCTGGTGGTCAGCGCTGGAATCAGTAACCACCAGAAGTCGTGGCACCTGGAAGGCTGCCTGGATCTGGTAAGTGAAGTTTCCAGGAGTGAAACAGCCAGAAATAGAAGTAGGTCCGGCGGCAGCGACAAACTTCAGCACAGCTCGCCGGTCAGTCTTCTGGAGGACGTGACACTGACATCGACTGGGTTTTCAGTGGCAGCCATGGCACAAGCTGCCGGCAGAAGCTTCTCCCCTGTTCTCTTCAGACTTATGATGTAGATGCCGTCACTTTTCCTTCTGCGGATGGACCGATCCATTTGGAAGTCAAGGTTGGTGCCTCCTAACTGGGTTCCTGCTGCAAAGAATTTGAGGACATCCTCCTTTTTCACTTGCGGGACATCAAGGACTCCGGCCATTGTGGAAATTTCCCTTTAAGTAATGATGGGAATCTAGAACAATGCCTTATGGACCCCTCCCTGAGTAGTGCAGAAAGGCTAGAGAATTTATTCTTGAAAAAGAACACTGACTCTGTAAACTCAGGATACCTGGGGAGATGCCTGGATGTTCTGCTAAGAGGTGGAGGGCAGGGAAGGGTGTCCGTGAATCCTGCCTCACCCATTTACCAGCTGTGTGAGGTTGGGCAGGTTACTGAACCTCTCTGTGCCTCCCATTCCCCAAGTGTAAAACAATGATGATGATAAGAGCAACTATTTCCTAGGGTAACTGTGAAGATGCAGTGAGTTAAGTCACATAGAGCAACTGGAACAGGGCATGGTGCAAAGTAAGGGCGTTACCACTGTTGGTTTTTACTGTTAACTGAAAACAAAACAAAACAAGGGGCATTTGATAGTTGCTGCCTAGCACACAGTAGGTGCTTAATAGATATTTCTTGAATGAACAAATGGGGAATTTGGCTTCTAGTGGGAAAAAAACACCCTTGGATTGTGGATTCTTGAAATGAGGTACCAAACAATCAGCATGAATCAGGGTTCAGAGGGCCATTGCTCTAAATTCCAAGCCAGCCAACTACAGGGGAAAGGATAAAAACAGAACACTGGTTACTCACTGCCTTGAAAGGGAGAGTGGTTCCCTGGGATGACTTCATGACAAGGACACAATTAGCCTTGACCTGGGGTTTATTTACTCCACAAATTAAGCAGTCCTGGCTGGCAGTGGAGCCGTGCTCCTTGCCAGGCCTGACTGCAGAAGGGATTTTCTGAATGGCTAATTAAAATGAAGCAGGCGATGCCCAGCTATCACTTCTAATTGTGCTGGGCTTTGAAAAGACTTGCAGGGCTCAGGAACAGAAACTTTGATTTCTTTTTTTTTGAGTAAGTTGGAAGACACACCTAGGCAGCAAACATTAAGTTACCACGAATGGCTCACAGGCAAAGCGTTATTTGGTCTCATAATATTTTTGATGGGCCTAGAAGCGTTGAATAGTGATAATTTTGATAAGCACAGCTTAATAGCTAGGGTTCTGTTTTTATAATGGGCAGGCTTGGAACATTCCAGCCACATTCTTCTGAAAGCTCTCTCACTTTGAGCAGCTGGGTACCTTATTTCTGGAATTCATGTCCTAGGAGTGTTTTCCCCTAGAAATCAGACATACCACTTACTCACTCAAGAAATATTTTTTTGAGTGTCGACTATATCAGTTTTACATTAAATAACGTATGTACGTTAGTGAGCGCAGTCAAACCTTGGAAACAGGTTTACCGGACTCTTCATGGTGGTGATTCTGGGAGACAAGATCAGAGGTGGTGGGTGGTACTTTTCACAATGTGCGTGCATTACTTTAGTAAAGCAGGGAAAACCCCCCAGAGAGAGAAACATAAGCAGAGTCACAGAGGATATGCAGGAAGCTCAGCCTCAGTGATTCGGGACGATGCAGAGCAGGCTGCAGGGTGGGGGGCAGGGTTGTGATTTTTTTTTTTTTTTTTTGCGGTACGCGGGCCTCTCACTGCTGTGGCCTCTCCCGCCGCGGAGCACAGGCTCCGGATGTGCAGGCTCAGTGGCCATGGCTCATGGGCCCAGCCGCTCCGCGGCACACGGGATCCCCCCGGACCGGGGCACGAACCCGTGTCCCCTGCATCGGCAGGCGTACTCTCAACCACTGCGCCACCAGGGAAGCCCAGGGTTGTGATTTTGGAGTTCAGAGAAACACCGGTCCCAGCTTGGGCTGAGGGCAGGCCACCTTGCCCTGATAACTAGCCCGTCCCTCCTCTCTGCTTCCTAGTGAAAGGCAAGCTTGATAACCAATCAGAAGGGGCATTTTTGATTGACTCCCCAAATTCCTACCTTAAATCTTGCCCATTGTCATCGGATGAGACATCGTCCACGTGGATCTGGTCACAGTCCTGTAGAGAATTTGGCAAGAAGAGAAAAAGGGAGAAATGTGACTGGTGAAGCTGGTGCAGCCTTTAAGAGTTGGTTTCATAAGCTGAGGGGTGAAGGAGCACTGAACTGGGAGTCAGAGTCCTGAATTCTAGTCCACACTTTGCCACTGAAGGTCAGGTGACCTTGGGCTAAGTCTCATCCTCTTTTGCCTTTGGCTATAAGGGGTGGTGGTGACCGTATAATTTATCATGCAAACCCAGATAATTTTGCAATGTAAAGGGGGCTGCTGTCAACGTTACATTAGGAGGACAGGCACAAAATAGGACCTATCTCCCTCTGCCCCCAGGTACACTAGGACCTATGGTTACCATGGCCATACGGTGGAAGCCTTTCACTATTCAAAGTGTTTCCTCTGCTTGGAATGCTCTTCTGCTTTCATCTCCTTAGTGAACCTTGGATTCTTCAAGCATTAGCTTCAGGAGGTACCCCCTGCCCAAGTCCCCCTCTGTGTCCCACGATCTGTGACCATCATTTATCAAGCATTACTACGTGCCAGGCACCATTCCAAGGGTTCGCCATTCAATGGACTCCAATAACATGCTGCTTTCCACCACCCATACATCTCTCAGTTCTCTTTGGAGAAATACCGTAACACATGGGAGTTAAGACAGAGGGGAAGGGATGATGTAGGTGGGCACATGACCCAGGCTCAACCAATCAGAGAGACCCAGGGTCCCTCTAGCCACAGTGATGACTTCAGAGATGAGTGTGTGGCCTCAGCTGGACCAATGAGAACCAGCCCTGGGACTTTTGGGAAAGAGGAGCTCTCCTTTCCCTAAAGCTGCTGGATGGTGAGATGAAGCCTGGGGCTGTTAGAGGAAAGTAGGTCTGGGAGTTGGAGAGAGGGAGGAGGCCCTGATCAGATCACATTGTTTGCTCCTCTGGATCCGGCCACAACTGAGACAAGGCCACCCTGACTACCACGGCAGGCTGAATGATAGCCCCGCAAAACAGCCCTGTCCTAATCTCAGGAAACGTATACAGAAAAAGGAACTTTGCAGATGTGATTAAGTTAAAGATCTTGAGATGGGGAGATTATCCTGGATTTTCCCGGTGGACCCCAAATGTAATTACAAGGGTCCTTGTAAGTAAGAGGCAGAGGGGTATTTGACGACAGAGAGGAGAAGGGAACTGGAGTGAGGTGCTTTGAAAATGAAGGCGGAGGCCGCAAGCCAAGAAATACAGGCGGCCACCAGAAGCCGAGAGTGGCGAAGAAACATATTCTCCCTTCAAAGCCTCCAGAAGAAACCAGCTCGCCGACATCTTCAGCCCAGCGAAATTGACTTTGGACATTGATCTCCAGAACTGTGTTGTTTTAAGCCACTAAGTGTGTGGTAATTTGGTACAGCAGCCGGAGGAGACGAATACACGGACTTTTCCATTTAAGTGAGTGGAGATGGATTTCTGTCATTTTGCAACCAAGAGGCAAGTGATGCAACAGCTCCCAAGGAAGCCTGTGAACTCTGCCTCCATCAGAAGGTCCATTCAGGTGATCGGTCCATAAGGCAAAAATCGTGAGCACGCTGTGCCTGCCCCCCGACGGTACTGGTTAGAGCTCAGCCTCTGGAATCGGATCACCCGGGCTTGGATCCTGGATCCAACCACTTGAGCAAGTGACTTAACCACCCCAAATCTCAGAGATCAGTTTGGCAAATGGAGATAATAACAGAACCTGCTTCACAAGGTTGACGAGAGGAGAAGGGTCTGGCTACATAAATGTTCGTTTTGATTATTGTGTTAAGATTTGTAAACATCCGCGTTTTGGTTTGCAAGACAATTTCAGGGGGCAGATATCTCCTCGCAAAGACTGCAAGAGAGAGGAAGATGCGCGTGGAACTTTGAGCTTGGCCTCTGAGAGAAAAACTGGTTGTAACATCTCTGGGCCCTTGATGGGAGGAGAAAAGCTGGGGGAAAAATGGTGGTGTCAACATTTTGAGCAGATCTCTTTTTACACAAGGAAGAGGCTTGAGTTTATCTCTGAGAACAAGAGTTTTGCTGGGGGATGATGGGACCACCTTCCCTCCATCACTTTTTAAAGATATACAGAGATAACTTAGTTGTTATGGAGATGCGGGGGTAGAGCAGGTGGGGACAGTGGCATTTGGGGCAGCCTGGGCTGCTCTGTGGGGATCAAGGTTGGAACCTGGAAGAAGGGGTGGTGTGGCCGCTGATCCCTCTCTGGCCCCCCTGAATGAGCTCTGGACTGGAAGGCGGTTTGCTGGATCCTCTGGATTGGAAAGAGGTTTGTTTCCAGAGTCCCTGGCACACTTTGCCCACGGCTCTGTGGCAGTGACAAAGTAGGACTCAGGGTCCTGCTCCACGGCACCTCACGTGTCTGTGGGCCTGGCACAGCGCCCAGGCGTGGGCAACGGTGTGCTCTGACAGGTCTGACAGCAGGGAGGTCTACCCAGAGGCTTCCTAGGGGTCAGCCATGGGCAAATGGTAGCCAGAGCAGAGGGCAAAGAACATGGCAGATGCTCAGTGGTGACCCCATCTGAGAAACTCTTTGGATAGTACTGGAAAAAAACTAGGTGGGGGGCACGGAGTGACCATCCTTGAGTGAGCGGACATCTGGTTTACACCTAAAGCTTTTCTGCTGTATTCCGTATTTCCTTTCTTTCCATGCACCCAGGATTCTGATGTCTTGGTGGTATAATGGATCCCCCTCCCTGAGAGGGTGTGTCCTTTCCTAAATAGTTGACACGATGGGACGCCCCAACTGGAAGAGCGGATAGTCACATTATCTAATACAGCAGAGGTTAGCCGCGGGTGGTTCTTTATAGTTAGATTCAATTAAAATTAAACAGAAAATTCCATTCCTTAGGCCTATTTCAAGTGCTTGATAGCCAAATGGAGCCCATGGCTACCACACTGGATGGTGCACGTTTTCCATCATTGTAGAACATTCTATCGGACAGTGCAGCTCTGGAGGGATAAAGAAACGAGGTTGACAATTTCTCTGCTGTGTTGATAGGTTCAATTAAGGAAGCGCTTGCAAGCTGGCCTGGAGACATATCTCATTTAGCCCAAAACGTGCTTAAAACATTAAAACATTTTTTGGAACAAGAGCCGTCTCTCTCTCTCCCCCTTTCCTCCGTCCCTTCTCGCTCTTCTTGTTCTCCCTCTCTCTCTGTCTCTAGATTTTCAGCTACTTTGAGAATTTACACGCTCTGGCAACGCAGGGCTTGCATTCGTCTATCCTGAGAATCCTTAGCCTTGACGCCCTTCTGCAGCCTCTACTGGGTTTTCCTCACTTTACCTTACCTGCTTACTTGGCCCCTGTGGGCATCCTAGTTTGAAACCTCTGATCCAGAGCAATCTCATATACCTGGAAGGATCCCAAGGCCAGCAATCCTCACAGGTTAATGAAAACTGTATTTAAAAGCCAGCGCTGACTTTGGAGACCCAGGCACCGAGGAAAAATTAATAGCAGATTTCCCCCCAGTCCATTGCTTTGCCTGAAATTGGAAAAACACCTCCCCGTGGCCCCCAGGCCTCCCCTCAAGCTTGAAAGCTGCTCTGGGGGGTCACCAGGGCTCAGGCCTCTGGGCAGGGTTCCCTGTGCTTTCCCTGATATCAGGGGAAAGGTATGTGGGGAGGCTCTGTTTTTCTCATTTGCGAGGGGATTGTCGGGGGTGCTAAAGTGTGACAACAGTAGCGATCACATTTCGGGCTTAATAAAATACCATGACGCTCAGCTAGACACTACCTCATACTCCACCAGCTGACCTGGATTGAGTTACCCGCTGGGCCAGCACCGAGGGGAGTGGGACAAAGCGGAGGACACGAAGATGGGGCTGGGCCCTGGGGGAAGAGGATCATATGCCCCTCAACTGTGCTGCACAGGGGGCAGGCCTCTCAAAGGATGCCAGCCTCTCACGGCCCAGGGTGCTCCTGGCCTCTCTGGAGTCAGAGTGTGACTATCATGGGGCCGGTGTGTCTGAGCGGGACTACCAAGACAGAGGATGGGTTCCTGTGGCCTTGGCATGGGTGAGGTGCAGTGGGGCTGAGGAATTGACACTTTCTGACCCAGAGAAACAACTGCAAAGAGTCTCGTGCAAGGATGTCCAGCATCCCAGTGAGAAACTGGAAACCCCTGCAGTTCCCTCGATTGGATCATGGTGGAATGAACTGTGGTATATCCATTCAGGGGAATCCTACCCAGCAGCTCAGAAGAAAGAGGGAGACAGTTATGTTAGCACATGGAAATGTTTCCAAGACATCCTACAGTGCAAAAAGCAGCAGATTGGAGAATGAGACATCCAGTATCACACATGTCCATATTTATAAAAACCAATTAAAAACAAGGTGATATATATAAATGTATCCATATACATAAATGGAAACAGAAAGGTCTGGATGCTCACACGTCCGACTGGGAACAGTAATTCCATCTGGGAAGGCACTGGCATTGGGTTAGTGGTCAAAGGAGGCTTTAACCTTACTGAAATGCTTTCTTTCCTTTCCTTCCTTTCTCCCTCCCTCCCTCCCTGTTTCCTTCCTTCCCTCCTTCCTTCCTTTACAAGGAGAATATGGACATATATCGCTTTTGAAAAATAAAGTATCTCCCTGGGGAGGAGAGGAGAACACAGGATCTAACACTGGAGGCCAGAGGCCAGCGATATATAGCCTCTGACTGGCTCCCAACATGCCGGGGTCTGTGCTCAGCACTTCACATAGGTTAACGGGGATACTACTGTCGTTCATCTTACACAGGAGAAAATGAGGTGAGAGAAGTACAGGAACAGGTCTGTTATGAGCTGAATTGTGTCCCCTCAAAAGATGTTGCAGTCCTAACCCCAGTACCTGGGAATGTGACCTTATTTGGAAAGAGGGTCTTCACTGATGATCAAGTGAAGATGGGGTCGTGAGGGTGGGTCCTAATCCAGTATGACTGATGTCCTGATACAAAAGGGAAATCTGGACACAGAGACAGATATGCACACAGGGAGAACATCAT